CTGGGCAGGCTGAGCCAGGTGTGGGATTTGCCAGTTCACCGAACTGGTCATAAAACAGCCATAAAGTTAGCTGAACTGGGGCGAACCAATAGCAGCCTACCCCTGCTTGGAAGTCTTTCCTACCTGACAAAGAGAAGAAGCTGGAGGTTACAAAAAAAATTGAGGCTTCCCCCATTGGGTGGGAGGGAGCTTCTATTGTCTCAAGAACCCATCTTCCTATCCAGAAGACAGGAATCGAAGGAGGTCTATCGGCAATAGAGCATGAAATTTTTATTTATGCAATTTGTGTGCTTTCCTGCTGAGCTTCAGACTGTAAGGAAAGTCACCGTGATAAAAAAAATAAAAAAGCTGTTCTCAACAGCTTTCATCCATAATGCATGGTCTTGTTAAGACTGGAGAACTCTATCAAGTGGGATGAAGAGGAAGACAGCTTCATGGTAGATTAGGCAGGTGGCAGGTGGCTGGATTTAATGTTTAAAGATGGGTTAAGAGCTGCAGCAAAAAAGGATGAAGATGACGATTGGGCCAGGTGATGTAGCAAAGTTGGTGAGGTTGGACCACTTACCTGGATAGTAGGGGAAGAGGTTGTGTGTGTGGAAGAGCAGGCAGAACATGAGGTGGAATTAAATATGTCATTAGTTTAGAGTCCTTACACTGCCATAAATGATCCAAATCCAGCCTTCTTGAATACTGTTGATTTTTATCTATGCCAGCTTAGTGCTGATCATTAGTTGACTAGATTCTGGTTCATTGGCTTGAATAAATCTTTTGTGCTGCAGCTTAATGTATGCTCCTGATCCTTTGTGCCTAACAGGAGTGGGTTCCCCACTCTGGGAAATCTTTATTTATTACAACACTTTACCAGCTGAATGATTCCTTGTTATAAATATTATTATTATTTTTTGAAACAGATTAAATCTCTACTAGAGCTTACACAGCGGTTTTTAATGCGGCTTCTATCTACCCACTGCAGGAAACTGTCCAGAGGCTTTAAAAAGGACTGATCGTGTATTTGTAGACAGCCAGTTGATTCCCCTGAAGCTGTCAATTATTTTTGCAAATTACAGAAGGGAATTTGATTGTGTAGTTTTAGGAGGTTGCCAGAAATGGAGCCTTGAGGATTGTACATGTTGTTCTATCAAGAGAAGAGAAGAGAAGAGAAGAGAAGAGAAGAGAAGAGAAGAGAAGAGAAGAGAAGAGA